TTTTTTACAGCCTATAGTTTCCACAGGCAGTGTCACAATTATCTACAGTGTATGAATCTAAAGGTTTTTGGGTTAAGATTCATAATATAGAACATTTTTTAACATTGTATGCTGTATGTGCATAGGTAGCTAGCAAACAAGGAATACAGCTGTTAAGCTAATAGTCACATTTAGCTGAGTAAGATCATGATGTTGGATACTGCTGGAAATGCTGCAATGGGGTATCCTATTAATTCAGTCAGTGTGGAAGAACATGACTGGTCTGCAGAAAGCCAAGTCCTAATCCCAGCTGAACACCTTTGCTGTGACTTAAATGCAGACCTTGAGCCAAAAACTCATCACCAAACACCAATGATTTGTACAAACATTTGGACAAAAGTATTGGGACACCCCCTTCTTTAGAACAGAAAAATGCACTTCCAAAACTGTGGCAACAAAGATGGAAATACAATTTTTAATACCTACATGAATTATGTTTCCATCTTTGTTGCCACAGTTTTAGAAGCATCTTTTTCTGTTCTAAAGAAGGGGGTGTCCCAATATTTTTGTCCAAATGTTTGTACAAATCATTGGTGTTTGGTGATGAGTTTTTGGCTCAAGGTCTGCATTTAAGTCACAGCAGAGGTGTTCAGCTGGGATTAGGACTTGCCTTTCTGCAGACCAGTCAAGTTCTTCCACACTGACTGAATCAATCTTTTTTTTTTTAACCTTAGCATTATTGTAACAGATTGGCCAGGCTCCACCACCACCCAATCACAACGATCACTCTCACCTGAGTTCTGAGCACCTGCCACCAATCAAGCACCTCATTACCAGCCTGCATAAAATGTTGGTGAACTTTAAAAAATACGCCAATCTTTTAATAAGAAGGGGGGGGGGGTTCCAATACTTTGGGCAATATAGTGTATGTTTGGTGCGGTAGGGGGCCCAACCTCATATTCTTTCATAGGGCCCAAAATTGCTAGCAGCAACCCCTGTGCAAATGACAAGTCTCGGTTAGCCTAACGCAGTACACGTAGCAAGGTTTTTATTTTATTTTTTAGATACTATCTATATACAAACCCGATTCCAAAAAAGTTGGGACACTGTACAAATTGTGAATAAAAACAGAATGCAATGATGTGGAAGTTTCACATTTCAATATTTTATTCAGAATACAACA